TCGTTTGATTCTGGCGTTTTGCTAGATGCAGTGTTTCCCTATTTCCTTTTTGTGCATTTAAACCAATTACTATTCCTTCCGCATTCGTTGTCTGCAAGTACGTGTAATTCGTTTTTTCTGGGATGCGAAGCATCCAGCTTTGAGAAGTATGTAGAACTTCAGCGCAAACTAACTGATTTTATTGAATTATTCGGTGCCCTATTCCCGTTCCATGAGTGTCTCAAAGTGTCATGATTTTGTGTTTTCCCTGTTTGATGACGAAGTATATAGACCTCTCAAAAATAGGTTTCCTCCCGCTTCTGGTATTCATGAATCCATACTAATATCAACAGTGGTCAACAATCTTTGCATCATGGCATCACAAAATGTTTCATGGTCACTGTACCTTTAGATTGCATCCCGTAAAGGTAGAAAGCTATTATGTTTCTCAGTTGAATAACAAATACTTTGTGTTCCTCACAATTTTATCGTTAGGTTTGTGATTCTGTGTGCTCCGCCCCCCCCCCAATGGTTACACTGTTCCCTACTGGTTTTACCCGAGCTGTTAGAAAAGACTCATATTATGGCAAGATCTCTGAAACATACTTATAAACACCGTGGTATCTTTCCGTGCTCTGTTAATGTCAGATACCCAAAAGCATCTGAAATTTTGTTATGAAATTATTCTCAGACATGCATTATTCATTATACAACGAACTCCCATAGGCTGTATCTAAATGGCTCGCACGCTCAACGTTCGAACATTGATTGGCATTTATCTCCTCACATTGTCCTTCTGTTTTGCCATATCTCGCACGTTTGCTTTTTTTAGGGAGAATGTCTCCGCATAGTGTCGCCACTGCTTATTTCATTGAAAACGTCTGTATCTAATAATTTCAATTTCAGTTTATCCAATTTACCTTGATCAATGTGGTATGAAATGCTGAAATCTGAAAATCCCAGAGCCTGAAGTACCTGATGAATAAAAAACAGTATTATTACTGACTTAACATTCATTGATGTTTGTACTGAGGAAAATGAAACCAGGCATTTACTAATTAAAATACTCGTCTTGTGTGTTGTAATTAATGGTCACATGGAGTGTGTTGTTTATAGGGAAATAACGAGCGAAGTAGAAACCTTTTTATACCCCGGGATGTTAGTTGCTGTTATAGGCTGCTGGAGCTTCCCCACAAATGAAATAAACCAATGGGGTGTCAGAACTGGGGTTTAATTGGCTGTACAGGAAACAGAAGCCCTTATTCTGGAAAGTTAATATAGCCATGCATCAGAATTGCCTGACCATTTTAGAAGTTAAAAAAATTTGTGAATTCTGCGCAGAAATATTAGTTGTTTTGTTGTGATTGTTTAAAAAACGGATAATTCACTGGCTCGCAGAGCTATCCTCAAAGCTATCCAAATACTCAGCTCTAATTTACGAACTTTTATACGGTTTTAATAGGAGTTATGTGATATTTGCCCCTTGGTTCTGCATTGCATTCAATAAATACCAACCTGAAGAATGGTCCAATTCACTCCATCCTGATGCGGAATACAGCCAGTGCTGCATCTGTCCGACATTCCGACATCCGCAGATTTTTTCATCATCTGCCAGAAATTCACCGACTTTGGACCTGCACGCTTAGACTGGCATCTTTTGCGAAACCCGAAAGCATTCGCGTCAGCTGTTTTCACATGCACCAGACAAAGCTGGGAGCCCTGCCTCCTCCGCCATCGTAGTCGTACTGTGCGGATTTACTCACAGCTTCACCGTCACCCTTCCACCAGTTCATACGCACACGCGCACGCGTACGCACACACACAAGACCGTCACGCGTGCCTACGATAGATGTATGTTCAGTTATTGAGACCACATTCAAGTGCTATGAAAAACTGATCAAAGCTATTTCAGCTTCCACGCTTGATGAATTACATGTTTTGACGCCTTGTGAAGCCCGCTCCGATAGGGTGTTAAATAAGGGATAGTCACAACTACCACTAGGTGCCCTGATTAGGGAGCATCTATTTGCGTTACGAGTATCAGTAGCGAAAGTACACAGTTTTGCTAGACATTGGAAAGGATCGTTAAAGCGTTGCTGGTACATCATCCAAAAATAAAACCTTGTAGAAATGTTACAATAAACAAATTTTAAAGACCGTTGAGCCAATTTTTAGGGAGGTAAAAATGTTTAGGCATGTTAAACAAAGGAAGATGTAAAAGGATTCCGGTAAAGGAAGCTTCCCTTTTGTCGGGGAAAGGCCAAATCTTGTGGTAATACGAGTTGAACCTTTTCCAGTTTCTGCAAAATAGAAACAAATATTTATCCCACTTTTGGCACTGAGCCAACCAAGATAATAATGTTTGTGCGACGTCTATACCTGCATTCTATTCACCCTTCCTAGTAAATTAGCTATAATAGTAATGATAGCACATTCGTCTATCGGATATTCTTTTGTCCGTGGTTTCATTATTATTTTTACAATATATCAACAAATTAAAAGCTTATCATCTGTCTCCATTGCCAGAAGTTTACTGGCTGTTAGTCTGTCATAAGCATTTTGCAATAGTGTACTCGTCCGTGCAATTCAGGATTTGCGGTATCATACGTTTTCTGTTGACGAGAAAACATATAGCTGGGATTCATACACAACCAGACGCAAAACAATAAACTTTCGTCTATTTTTTTACATGCACTCTGTTGTCGCTTCAGGTCGAATTGGAACTTTCCAAACATCGGTACAAGCAATACCACACCAGTTTCACAGTTCCGTTTGGTTTTCTCATGTCGTGTGAACCAATCATCACTTTCCAGATTGTTTTTAAAATTTCGGAATATGTTTCTAACCGTTTGTCAAGTTTATCCACTCCTACCATTAGACTCATTCCTTTCCAGCACTTCTGATCCGCTTTCCGACGTGTTTTCAGGATCGAACCAGGACTCCATTGACCTAAATATTTTCCTTTCTGATGGATCATTTTACTGTTTTTGATACATGTGCATTATTTTTCTTTCACGGTATGTTACATCCGAAGTATACTAAAAGTCCTTATCCAATTATTAGTCCGACTGAATATGCGAAGCTATATGTGGCATGCTTAACTGTTCAATGATCTTGGATGCCTGCGATAGTGAGGAGTCGTTTTAGGCTTTTATTAGGTATAAATGAGCTTGAAACCCTAACTCTAAGCGCATAACTGTATTTATCAGCTCCCTATAGGTATTTGGTGATTTTTAATGAAGTACAGTATTTTTGCATCTGCTTGATACATTGAACACACCGGAATGTCGAAGAAAAACTTCAATAATGATGATTGATTGTGTGCTCATTGTCACCTGGCAGTTAGAGTTAAAATGGTAGCATCAAAGATTCTTCGTTGAAAACGTGATCAACATGAGACGATTCAAGTGGAAAAAATGAATTCGAGCTGAATGATTGTGAAAAGAAACAAAAGAACTCCTTGTCAGCAAACGGAAAATGAGACAGGGATCATTCCTGGTAGGTAACTGATTTATCTTGCGAGTGGACACGATCATGCTTATTTGACTCACTCCGCAACAGAGCGATGAATTGACCAACAAGTTATCTTGATATGTCCAACCTGAAAACGTACAGGTTGCTGCCGCAAACACTGTTAGATTAACACCATTCTCTATCAGACAATTATCCGATAATCTGTTCAAGTATGCACTCACTAGGTTCACACGTAAATACCGATCGGTCCACCCGGGTAAATGTGCTACCACTCCTACAACTCCTATTCATACTGGAACTGAGCAGAATCACGGAATCGGATTCGTTATTATTTCGTCCACTTTGCTCGAATAAGAGAGAGGGAACGAGGGAGTTCATTGCAGAGGTCGTGTGCAACTAGATAAACGGAGGCTTTTGGATGAAGATCAAACGTGCAGGATGCTCAGTCGAAGTTAACAGACTACTGTTACCAGCCCCAGATGGTATTTGTGAAGAAGATATTTGCAACCGCGTTTAAATGAAAAAAAAAACATTACGCGTGGACTTTGGATTCAAATGCACTGGGACCTTATTACCGCCAGGGGAGTAACACACTCTGAAGGATCCAAAACTGATTTCCCTGTGAAATCTAATGCAAAAAAAATTATTATGATATCATGAATATCATGAATAACGTGCGCAGACAGCCAAATTTGGGAACATGTATTACCAGATTTTCTCTCGCAGTGTTCTATTACTTAAAGCTTGCGAAATGGTTTATAGTATGATTAACAACATTCTGTCTACTTGTATTACGTATCCGAAGAATGAGGTTGTCGAAATCCTCTCAAACCAGATGTTTGCCTCCCGGCAAAAGTTGCATCACATTGCTATAAGGGTTGTCGGTTTATTAGGTTCAGTCACGCCCATGGCAAGACATATCCAGTACCATGCATTGACGAAGCTACCACGGAACATTGAAAGCTATCCGATAGACTGCATACAAATGGGCCTCTTCTTTGCGATACGATCCCGGAGTTTCACTTCTTTGGCATTCAGGAAACAAATTATTATCTATATTATTCCAACAAGTTTGACTGGCATTGTGACTGAATTATCAACAGGTTATACGAAAATGTGACATACAAACCGGGATTGTTTCATTTGACATCAGAAATCACATTTCCTGGGGTTTAAGATACGCGCACATAGAGAGGGTAACCAACTTCGCTCCTCGTGTTGGGTAAGCGTGTTCTGCCTTCAGTAGCGCACTTCAACATCACAAGGCACGATAGATAGTGTTCATTTTCATTGCAATTTGCTAACCCCCCATTGCAATGCGTAATATTTTAAGAGGATCGTGGTACGGATTATAATAGTTGCATTTTCAACAAACATTTGTTTGAACGATTCGTGAACCAAAGAATGGCGGTTAGGGAAATCGAAATCCTTTGAATTAAATTGGGTGAAATCTGTTTTTCATTTTGGTTAACAACAGGGTCACGTGAAACAATGAAAACAAAATATCTTCGGAATCCTACAAGGGCCATCAGCTTACTGCACCACCACTAGCTTACCTCATAGCTGGAACGCCTCTGTAATGAGTGTGATTCGTGCCTCGATGTCATGTTCTCGGCTACTTCCATCACCGGTGGGTTTTCTGTGCTACGATTCAGTTCTCTCGATCCTAGACGCCCGTATTTTCCCCGTCCGAGCATGAGAATCAAACCTCCACTTCCGGAACTAGTCGCACTTGGCATGCTAACCGAGGACTCATGTGATTCTGTAGAACGTTGTTGTACCCAACTGGTCGGTGACATAGTCGTGCTATGCGCGCTGGCTGGTGACAATGCAACCGGAGAAACACTGTGCGTGGTACCTGGTGTTGTAGGCAGAGGTGAACTCTCCGACGGAGTGCACAAAGGTGATTTAGCCACAGGACCATAATGAGTGGACAAAAAGCCTGCTTTGCCGGGATAGTAATAGCTTCCGGTTCTCGTTTGCCCAACAGAATCCACAGAACCAGACGAATTGATTAGCCTTGGTCTGGGACGAGGAACAATACTAGCGTGTGTTGCCGCCAATTTGGATGGAGATGCAGACAAAGCTCTTTGTGTCCCAACACCTAAATCCATTCGTGGTGGTATGTCCACGTGAGACAGAACAGTCTCTTTAGGAGAATTAGGGTATAACGGTGATGTGGATGTGCTATAGGCCTCAATCTTTGGTGTATAACGTAATCTCGAGACCAAACTGCCTGTCTGCTGTGTATGTTGTACCGGAATGTTTGGAGTCGAGGTGGATAATTCCGTCTCATCCAACGCTATGGTAGGCACTTTATTTTGTGAGTACTGTTTTCGACGAGAAAGTAATCGAGCCTGTGGATCACCGGACATTCGTTCCTCCGGACCTGTCTTTCCAAGGTGTGCTGAGTTTGTATCTTTGTCTGAGGATCGACTTTGTGCGTCACTCTGATGTTGCAGTGATCTGACTGACGAGCGTCTTCGAGGATCCACAAACCGTCGAACGATACTTGGTGTTGTCTGAGCTGCACCCTGCACACCGGTACGTTGAGGGTCGTTGGGCATATTTGGTTTATTGAATCGACGTTGCATCAGAACTTAGTACTGTTGCTTGTCTGAGTGTATGTGTATGTACCACGCTAGCGTAGAAAATTTGTATTTTCACAATACCTATGGGGATGAGTACACCAGGCCCGGAAAACGG